CAGCTATCACCTTTCACGATTATCGAGGTATCACCGAAATACTCACGGCCTGTGTTATCAAAGAGAACTTTGTCGTTTAAACCAAGGCGCAGCTCTGGCATTCCCGACAGAAAGACTCGCATTTTAATGGATCCCACTATCTCACTCCGTAATACGTTTCCGTTGGCACTGACCTGAACAAAAACGAGAAGAAAGGTAAGGTTGCTCTGATGTCATCTGCTGGGACATCAAACAACGCTCCCACCCCAGCCCCATGCCCCGGCTTTTCTTAGATGTCTTTCTCCTGAGCAATTAACGCAGTGGAGCAGAATCAGATCAGGGAGGTGGTGGCACAGACGGAGGGAAGGACACGTCAGAGACCAGCAGCAGCTCTGAGTAAAGCATTACTGCTCCACTGCATGTCCTCAGGGGTACCCAGTCTGACTGAGGGACGCTGTTTGGAGCACCACGGTACACCAGCCACAGCCAGCCTGACCCTTCACTGCACCCGTGCAGGTTCTCAGACAAGAAGCCCTTTTCAACACTATCACAACCCTCGTTCAAAGCAAAAGGTACCCACCAAAAGGTTAACAGACTCTATAACATCCAGGAACACTTCATTTTTCCTGTATTTTATCCCTTCTGATCTCCACGAAACAGCATTTGTAACAGTGGCAGGCGGACGGGGAGCTCCCGTTTCAAGTTTGTGACCTTCCTGAGTGATGTACCTTTACAGCCACGTAATTGGCATGAAAAAAATGAAAATTAATTTTTTTTTGGTAACTAGAGCAAGCCAAAACATTTGTTTGCGTGCGGAAGGACGCTCAAAACTCCCCAAGGAGTTTGTCGCTGTAAGCGATGCAGAATGATACTTACTCTTGTAAAATCTTACTATCAGTGGTTTGTGGATAACCAAAATCCATAAGCTCATCTAACAACTCATAAATAATAACAAAATTATCCCTAATGCTCTCTTCTTCCAACTCCTTGAAATATTCAGAAAAAACCTGAAACAAAATGACAGGAGGGAAGGGAAGAAAGAGGACATTAACTGAGGAAGTACAGCACGTGCAGAATGTATTCTTACATCTAAAATAACAAATTTTTCAAAAGTCCCAAACCAAACCCAACCCCATAACTCACAAACAGCACTCTGTTCAGAAGATCAGCCTCAGGAAACCCACCTCGATGGAAAGAGAGCTAGAGAATCCTAGAAGCAACTCTAACTACTATGAAAAATATTTATTCTGGAGAAAATATTTGTCATGCCAGGTACAGATGACCCAAACATAGAATCTATGTGATATGCCACTACGCATGCATCGAGTTCACAATCCTCCTCTGTGCCCTCGGGTCTTGCGCAGCTACTTACAGCACCGTGTCACATCCTTTGCCTACTCAGCTACAAAATACCTATTCCATTATTAGTGCTTAGGAAGACAGTTCTACAAAATAATCAAATATAAAGTAAAAACGCTATTACCACGGAGTTCTTTAGAAATGCGAAAGCTCTATGCGCTTCTACTTAGAGCAGACGTAGGTGTGACTGAAAAGACCCAAAGCTCACTCTGAAACTTCGTACTCACCTGAACTACTTTATATAAAAACGAAAACACCAGCGATACACAAGCATTTTTCTTCGAAGTTGCCACAACTGATAAGGGATGTTCAGGAAGATGCATTCAGAGTCACCGTGCAAAAAAAAAGTTTCACTAAGGGCATTTTTAAAAGCCTTTAGGCAATCGGAGTTGGCCAAAAAATCCCTGAGAGTTAATTAATTAACAGTACCGCTGGTCTAATGAGATATGAAGATGAACATTCAGGAAATTGTTTATCAGCGTAAAATTAATATAAACACTTTTCTGCACCCTGTGCCGCTGGTGCACCTAAGGCATAAAATGAGTTGTTTTATCAGACCCTCCTGATGTCTGTCATTTCACCCATTCTCTAGCTTTGCATTTCGACACAAACAGCGAAAACAAGAGAGCGGCACTGGGCACATCAGCGCACGGAAGCTCCCTACAGCGTAAAGGATACGATACAGGTTGTTATGCTTAATCCACATAAAACGGACTCCTCCATGTGCTAGAATAGGAGAAAGCGTCCCCTCTTCTTCCTTTTCCATAAGGATTGGCATAAAATGCTCCACCTCTGACATGTCCACATCGCCGCGGTAGTTCCGGCAGATGAGAACCTGGAAAGAGAGGAACAAAACGCTTCTGGTTTTTCTCTTTCACGTTACCATGCAAGAGCAACACACAAGACATTTGGAAGGCCTCTTTAAGCAACTTTAAAGAGTCACCAACCTTCACTCTCACCTCTACACGTACCATAAACACAACTCACGATGCCGAAACACTTCGCTGACGAGAATGCAAACCCTAATCTTTCACTGCAATCTCACGTATTAGTATTTTCCTCGGTTATTCTTCACCTATTGCTGCACACGCCCTAATAACGCTTTCAGGATGGGAAAACATGCGACTCCTCCGGGACAAACCACCTCCGATCACGGCGGTGGTTAATTACCCCAGGAGGGATGCCCGAGGGCCCCGCTGCCACCAGCGGCCGCCTCCTTCAGCGTCTGCAACT